CTAATTGATGTTGGGTTACGATTGTCTTTAGTGCATCAGTAAGCATACATGTGATGCTACTTGTGTATGTACACACACACACACACACACACACACACACACACACACACACACACACAGGCTGGCCAACATACGAACGGCATTCAGAAACTTGTGTAAAGAATCATTCAGAACTTTGTATACCACATATGTCAGGCCAATCCTGGAGTATGCAGCCCCAGCATGGAGTCCATATCTAGTCAAGGATAAGACTAAACTGGAAAAGGTTCAAAGGTTTGCCACCAGACTAGTACCCGAGCTGAGAGGTATGAGCTACGAGGAGAGACTACGGGAATTAAACCTCACTTCGCTGGAAGACAGAAGAGTTAGGGGGGACATGATCACCACATTCAAGATTCTGAAGGGGATTGATAGGGTAGATAAAGACAGTCTATTTAACACAAGGGGAACACGCACAAGGGGACACAGGTGGAAACTGAGTGCCCAAATGAGCCACAGAGATATTAGAAAGAACTTTTTTAGTGTCAGAGTGGTTGACAAATGGAATGCATTAGGGGGTGATGTGGTGGAGGCTGACTCCATACACAGTTTCAAGTGTAGATATGACAGAGCCCGATAGGCTCAGGAATCTGTACACCTGTTGATTGACGGTTGAGAGGCGGGACCAAAGAGCCAGAGCTCAACCCCCGCAAACACAACTAGGTGAGAACTAGGTGAGTACACACACACACACACACACACTTTCAAGGTGAGGACTAAATTGAAAAGCGAGAGGCTCAAGAGGTTTATTTATGCAAAAGAGAGGATGAACGCCTGCGTGACCGTGTCCACCCCCAGACCGTGTCCACCCCCAGACCGTGTCCACCCCCAGACCGTGTCCACCCCCAGACCGTGTCCACCCACAGACCGTGTCCACCCACAGACCGTGTCCACCCCAGACTGTGTCCACCCCGGGCTGAAAGACACGGTACTTAAAGAAACTCGACGTAGCAAAGAAACTTGAAGAAAAAGCAAAATTACCAGAGAAATAAAATTACATTTATACTGTTGTCATTTTGAAGTAAAGAGCATTGAGCAAAATTATTTAACAATTAACAACAAATAAAAAACGAAAGTGGTGTATTGTTTAACTAAAACACTTTCTTTGGCACGTTGTATTCATGTTTGACGCGTAGTATTCAAGGTTGACATGTAGTATTCAAATGTATTCTCTCATATAGATAAGATAAATGTTTTTGGTCCACCACAAATCGAGAATATTTTGTATATATTGGCAACAAAGCATGTTTCCCTCGAATAAAAAATCCATAATTTTTTTTTCAATAAACTTATGATCAAATATAACAACAAATATCCTGTTGAAAATGTTGCAATAACATTGCTAAAAATTGGATGTTCAACCCACATGTCTGAAAAATAAAGAAAAAACGTTTCGGACCGTCCTAGAATATTATAAAGTCCTGTGACCGAAACGTTGTAACTCCCTTTATTTTCAAATGTGAAGACTTTGGGTCTAAACTCCTTCTAAATTAGGTGCGTCTTGGACCAAGACAATTGTCTTAATTTACTATTTAAATAGCCTGTAAATACTATTTAATTTCTTTTTATTTATAAACTGTAAACAAGTATTCAGGTATTGTGAAGAATAAACAAGCATATATATATATATATATATATATATATATATATATATATATATATATATATATATATATATATATTGATATATATATATTGATATAAATATATATATATATCAATATGACAATGTCAGACCACGAAGGAAAAAAGAAAACAGGAAATTTCCTTAAGTACTTTCGTATATTAAATACATCTTCAGAAGGTAGATGATGAAGATGTTAGATGATGAAGTAGATGATGAAGATGATGAAGATGATGTCACATTCTTAATCACGTGTTTATTTTCGTGATATACACACATATATCAATATATATATATTGTTAAGACTTCTCTGCAGAAGGCCTATTGACAACAACGGAAGACAACAACGTCTCTTTCCAGGCGATTAACAATGCATAAGCAACAGGGAGCCATCAAGGAACACATAATCTCTTCTCACAACCAGACTATCACCAGAGAAGTCTTAACAAACAACACAGAAATCATCGATAGGTACAGCGATAGCAGGCGGCTTGACATCTGCGAGGCACTACACATCATAACTTCAACACCAGCAATCAACAGCCAATTAATGCACAACTGTATTCTACCCCACTTCAAGACCCCGAACAAATATGGAAGCTGCCAGAGGAAGTAAGGGCCAATAGGCCTTCTGCAGTTATTTCCATTCTTATGTTCACATATCCAAGTTATACTCATTGTTCAGTGTTCTGTCTTGTGTTTGTCACACGTTTGTTCACTTCACCCAAAACTTTTGTACCATATCACCTCACCCAATAGAGTATAAGTACAATGAATTTGTGTGTAAATTAGGTCTTTGAAAATGTCATAAAATATTACGAAACGCGTTCAGGCGTCAGACCATAAATAAAAATACATTTTGGAGAATTGATATTATCATTATCACCGACAGTGAAGAAAAACATAAGAAATATTGAGAAAAATCGTGTTAGAATTATTATTCATACCTTTCGGTCATATTCAACAACATATATATATATATATATATATATATATATATATATATATATATATATATATATATATATATATATATATATATATATATATATATATATATATATATATGTATATATATATATATATGTTTCATTGAATATGACCGCATATTCTGTATTTATTATTTTCTGGTTTAGGGCTTCTATCCCTCTAACTATTTTCTTAGCATCAGGGCTTAATTGAAATAGGAGTTCTCCAAAACTCATTTTCGTACTTTTAAGGTGAAGAAAAGAAATGATTTACTATAGAGTGTATTATACTTATTTGTATAATTTGCACGACGTTTCGAACCTCCATGGTTCATTCTCAAGTGAACAGATCTTACAATACTAGTTGATTTTATACCCGCATTAGGTCAGGTGATAATACAATGAAGGTGAAAACATGGGATACATAAGGGAAAAACATAGGGGCTGCAGAAGGCTTATTGGCCCATACGAGGCATCTCCTATCTAAACACAAAGATTAATCCAGTGTAATTGACCTGTTATGTTGGACATTGTCTTCTGTGTTGGCATCGATATGTTCTTGTCTTGTCCTTACTCTCATGGTCGGTAGAGTAAATAGTTCCGTAAATAGAGCGACCTACCATGAACACCCAAATCACGGAACTATTTACTCTACCCACCATGAGAGTAAGGACAAGACAAGAACATATCGATGCCAACACAGAAGACAATGTCCAACATAACAGGCCAATTACACTGGATTAATCTTTGTGTTTAGATAGGAGATGCCTCGTATGGGCCAATAAGCCTTCTGCAGCCCCTATGTTTATCCCTTATGTATCCCCCCATGTTTTCACCTTCATTGTATTATCACCTGACCTAATGCGGGTATAAAATCAACTAGTATTGTAAGATCTGTTCACTTGAGAATGAACCATGGAGGTTCGAAACGTCGTGCAAATTATACAAATAAGTGTAATACACTCTATAGTAAATCATTTCTTTTCTTCACCTTAAAAGTACGAAAATGAGTTTTGGAGAACTCCTATTTCAATTAAGCCCTGATGCTAAGAAAATAGTTAGAGGGATCATATTCAATGAAACATGTTTGAAAGAAAACCTGCTGCCAGTATACACCAATATATATATATATATATATATATATATATATATATATATATATATATATATATATATATATATATATATATATATATATATATATATATATGAGGGCGAGAACTGCCAACGGCAGTCATTAAATAGTTAGAGAGGCAGTTCTCAAAACTAACTTTTGCCTCTCAAAGTTTAACGCTGTTGATGTGAATATAAAGATCTTGTGGTCGCGGCTTCGAATACCCAACAGCGTGACCTTTCTGGCCGTCGGAATATGAAGGATAGTCTTACCACTGGCGTATTTGGTCATACCTCTGGCGTATTTGGTCATACAACTGGTGCAGGTCATACCACTGGCGTATTTGGTCATACCACTGGCGTATTTAGTCATATCACTGGCGTATTTGGTCATACCTCTGGCGTATTTGGTCATACCACTGGCGTATTTTGTCATACCACCGCTGCATGTGGTAGTGTCACTGCCTTAGGTATTCATACCACTATCACTAAATCTTCCTTCAACAGCTTGGATGTGTTCATACCCTACTCTCATCTCCAGGCCTCTCCTGCACGTTTTTATACCACAGGTGAACATATTCATACCACAGCTGAACATATTCATACTACAGATAAGTGTATTCATAATACAGCTGATCATATTCATACCAAAGATGAGCATATTCATTCCATTGCTAAACATATTCATACCACAGTAGAACATATTCATATCATAGCTGAACATATTCATACCCCTACTGCAGCTGCTCATAGCTTTAGTGACTGTATAAATGTATGTGAGAGCCTCTATAAAGCTGACAGCTCTTTCAGACAATAATGTCCTTTAAACAAAACCGCATTTAAACAATTAAATTATTTGAATTGATCAATCACCATCAATGATCATTTCATCATTGATGATCGTCAATAATTACTAAATGTCATGGTATTTCCTAGAATATGTTCCCATTCAACTCATGTCACCAGCTGATGTCATATTGTCCAAACGAACATAATGTCATGCTTGCATTCTTCTGTGTCCTTGACGTTTGAGTATGACTCGACATATAGATTATAGACGAGAGTTAAGAATATATCATTCGTATATCATGCTCAAACGAATTCAGAACATGAGATATACGACATTGATCGTCCAAACATTGCAACTGTTCTGCTGTACTACAATGCAGCCAGATCAGGCAATCTCCCGCCAACAGGTTATATAATATATCACCCAATCTCTCAAGATAACAGGCAATTTCCTCACCAACTTCGTCATGGTTAAGGCTCCTCCTGCCGAGATGACAAGTTAGAGATAATCAACATGTCATGCATTTGCAAGTGTCGGGTTTGCAACACTCGATGATGGAGTTCAACATTTTCTACTCTCAAGGACTTTAACACGACTACAGTTGGCTGTAAGGAGTTAGGAGTTGGCGTCCACTAACTGAATATATAAAATGTTTCTACACCTTGTGTTCTAAGGAGAAAATTTCGGGTTCTAATTGCTAATTGTAGTTGTTAAGGACTACAGGTAGACGTGATAGAGGTCTACGTGCAATTGTAGAGGATTTACGTGTAATTGTAGATGGTTTACGTGTAATTGTAGTTGGTTTACGTGTAGTGGTGATGATCTTCATGTGATAGTAAGGATTTTGGAATGATAGTTGGGGGGGGGGGTCCTTCAGTGTGATTATGAGGGGGTCTGCGGCGTGGTTATGGGGGAGGGGGTCTGCGGCGTGGTTATGGGGGAGGGGGTCTGCTGCTGGGGGGTCTGCTGTTATGGGGGGGGGTCTATAGTATGTGTGTCTGAGAGTAGAGGTACAAGTCTAGGTTATGAGCTTTATACTACAAAATATTGCTCTGCCCTCAACAATATGTATCATTATACATAATACTTGCAACGTAGTCCTTCCATAGGTCACATGGAAACAGCTCGTATACCTGTAATGAAACAGTGGATTAATTAACTCAAGCCCGAATGTACTCCAAGCTCCCTCCATTTGAGAACATGATTGCTTAATCGGCAAGCAACTCGCCTCTTGAAATATATTGAATCGTTAGGCAAAGCAACGACCTCTCCTTAACGCAATGCGACGACCAAACAACTCAGTAACGACCTCTGCCGCTACACCGATGTCCGCTTTATATATATATTATATATATATATATGAAGACCCGGTAAGCTCTGGCAAAACCCCAAGGAATATATATGTATACCCAGAGAGAGAGACGTAATGTGCTTCTATTTGTGTATAAAGTGGAAGTATATTAAGGTATACAGCAAGCTGGTCAGTAAGTTGATGATAGCATCTATCGCCCATGAGATTGACAGGTCTTGAGCTCTATATCATAATAAACAGTCGTGTTACACATGACCAAATATAATGTTTACTTTGGTATTATTATTTCTGTCATATTTCACTTCATCTCCTGTCTAAACGTCGGTCATATTTCACTATATACCACCTGTCTATTACCGATTATTTATTATCTTAAGGTTATCTGTGAATGCTAGTAGATGTCTCTCCATCTATTTTGTATCTGTCTAACAGGCGTTGGGGTGACGGACGGCTGGTGGGGACAGAGACCGGAGTTCGGTCCAGCAGAATCGACGGTCACGGTACAGGAAGGGGAGACAGCCAAACTGCCTTGTGTCGTCCTCCATCTCAACGACAAGTCTGTGAGTATATGTTTTTGTTGTGATGCCGATGGTGACAATGTGAGTATCTCTGTTTTTGTTGTGGTGCCTTTGATGACAATGTCAGTATCTCTGTTTTTGTTGTGGTGCCGTTGATGACAATGTGAGTATCTCTGTTTTTGTTGTGGTGCCTTTGATGACAATGTGAGTATCTCTGTTTTTGTTGTGGTGCCTTTGACGACAATGTGAGTATCTCTGTTTTTGTTGTGATGCCGTTGATGACAATGTGAGTATCTCTGTTTTTGTTGTGGTGCCTTTGATGACAATGTGAGTATCTCTGTTTTTGTTGTGGTGCCGTTGATGACAATGTGAGTATCTCTGTTTTTGTTGTGATGCCGTTGGTGACAATGTGAGTATATCTGTTTTTGTTGTGATGCCGATGGTGACAATGTGAGTATCTCTGTTTTTGTTGTGATGCCGTTGATGACAATGTGAGTATCTCTGTTTTTGTTGTGATGCCGTTGATGACAATGTGAGTATCTCTGTTTTTGTTGTGATGCCGTTGATGACAAGTGTTGTGAAAACTCTGGTTTGCTCTAGCCTCCTCAACAAGACTGACGCTCTATACGTTACTCGTGTTAAAGAGTAACGTATAGAGTTAATGTTTACTCCTTACGCGTATCAATGAGTTAAAATTTTATCTTTAATTCTGTGCCAGTGGTGCCACAGTGACACTTCACTGGAGGAAGGTAATGCCTGTGTCATATTTCACTTCATTTCCCGTCTTAACGTCGGGAGATGAAGTTCAATGCTTCAACTGATGTTGATGTTCAATGCTCATTGTGGGCTGGTAACAATAGTGTAAACTATTGCTCAGTACTCAACATTCGTAACTTTCTTAACAAAAAGTTTCTTATTGATAATTTCCCCTATTCCTTCCACTTGGGCTGGTTGGAATCCCAACGGCCTCGCTTTTTTGCAGGACAGCGTTCGACCTCCGATAGTTCGATAGGTTGAGCATCATTCTTTCACTCCCTTCCCCTACCCCATCTCCTCTCCTTCCTCTCCCTTCTCTGTTTCTTCTTCCTTCCCCCCCCCCCTCCCTCACTCTTCATTTTTACAATGATGTCCTCTTTCCATCCCTTCCAGTCAATCTCAATTGTTAATTGTTTCAGCATTTGGATAGTATATATACACTGGTGAGTCTACCAGCTAGTGAGTCTACCAGCTGGTGAGTCTACCAGCTGGTGAGTCTACCAGCTGGTGAGTCTACCAACTGGTGAGTCTACCAGCTGGGGAATCTACCAGCTGATGAGTCTATCAGCTGATGAGTCTACCAGCTGGTGAGTCTACCGGCGTGCACAACCTCCAGTAGCTGTCATGTTGAGAGAGTGAGTGCGCTACATTTAACATACAAGGGACACGACCTTAATATCAACACGGCACCATATAAATCATACCAATAAACAATTCACAGTGAAAAATTTTCATTACATGTCGGTTCCCTGGATTATTGATGTTCGTTCCACACACACGTTTCATTACAGCCGCCTCCATAAACTTGCTTTATCATTTCCTGCTTCTCCCCCTTGCTTTAATCTTTTCTTACTTATGTCCAGTGCTTTGGTTGTATTTTCCTGTTTTATTATTTGCTTCTGTCTTCTGTACCACGACGGATCCTAAGCTCATTTCTTCCTTGCCTCTGTACTCTTGGACTCTATTTTTTCCTCATAAATTTTGCAATCATTTATACAGTAAATGGGAGTTAATATATACCTAATTTAATATTTAGTTACAATATATATTATATTGCTAAGATCGCTACTAACGGTATCTTATTGGTAAGATCGCTACTAACACTTAACGAACACTATTAATCACAGCATATTACAAGCGTAAGATGACCACTAATTTACTCCTGATGGACTAGTTTCTCACCCACCGTAAAGCCTTAAAAGATGAATGTCTTGTATGCCTTTCTATGCCCACTGTGGGACGGCAGAAAAACCACCATAGCGCCAAGTTCCAATGGTACTCCACAAACAACAAGGATACTAAATATACCATAATTTCTGCAGACAATCACCAGAGATATTCTGTAAACAACACCGAAATATCAGACAAATTCATTGACAGTAGGTGATAAGTTATAGCAGAAGCTCTTCATACCAACCACTAATAAAAATATTTAGTAGCTCGTAGATATTGGAGAAAAAAATACTAATTATTAAGTAAATAGCATAAAATATACTTAAGGGTTACCAGTGAAAAGAAAATAATAATAATATTACCTACAATGTGTTATATAAAGGATACAGGACAATATATAGCATACGGTTCAGTTGATAAATATATTAAATTCAGCAATATTAGCAAAACCAAATACAACTATATATATATATATATATATATATATATATATATATATATATATATATATATATATATATATATATATATATATATATATATATATATATGCAATTGACGATCACAAAACACTGATCATTTTATGCGGAAAATCCACAGAGAAATATGAAATGAGGTGAACGTTTCGGCTTTGTTAAAGCCTTTGTCAACACCAGACTGACTCGAGTCAGTCTGGTGTTGACAAAGGCTTTAACAAAGCCGAAACGTTCACCTCATTTCATATTTCTCTGTGGATTTTCCGCATATATATATATATATATATATATATATATATATATATATATATATATATATATATATATTACCATATAATCAAAAAATAAATTTCCTACTTCCTGTCAATAAAATTTAAATTGCCTTTTAAGAAATTTCACAGAATATAATTAAACATATAATGGTAATAATTATCTAAAAAATAGTTTTTATACGAGTAATATATAATCTAATTCTGACACGAGGTGTAATTACATCGGAAAAATATTGTGTTAATGAAATTTATTCAATTTTTTTTTACACATAGGTTGGTTATTTTTATCCCTTCCTAATTAGAGTTTTCCAGTGCCATGGTATGGAATCTCAGCAATATTTTATGGGATTCAATTTTGTCGGCGTTGGCTAATACATAGACTGTCAGCATGAAGCTACTTAATGGATACAATTGATATTGTGAGCGACCTTAATCACTTCCGGTAATTTTTATTATATTTGATTCAGATTTATGGGGAAAGATCATTAATAAGATTATTTTGCATCGACGATATCGTTCATATATATATATATATATATATATATATATATATATATATATATATATATATATATATATATATATATATATATGAAATATAAAATGATAAACTAAATAGTATAATAGGCCTCAGTTTAGGCCTATGAAGCCTGTGTATTATTCAGATTTAGATTTATATATATTATATTCATCGATATAAATGACAAAAATTATTTACGCTGCCAATTAATGAATTACGAGAAGACATAATTAATTGTGTTATGCTACTTTAAATGAAATTATTTTCTTTCCCTAACCAGACTCAGAGTTCCCACGCTGGCTAGCTTTTAGGGGCGATTGTAATATATTTCTATCAAGATTATTAATTATGAAGCTTCAGAGTTGAGCGGGATAATTGGAGCATGTGCTCGTAAGTGGAGATGAATATGGCGTACTTCTGAGGCAATTAGCACGCACAGGTACACGACCACACACACACACACATACACACGTGAATGTGTGCGTGAGAGAATTTTTAAAAAATTTAATGCTGAAAATTAGGTTGGGAGTTAGTGTATTAGTCAACCGACGGTTAGGATCTTGAGATGATTTCGGGGTTTAGCGTCCTCGCGGCCCGGTCCTCGACCAGGCCTCCTTTTTGTTACACGCCCCCAGGAAGCAGCCTGTAGCAGCTGTCTAGTTACCAGGTACCTATTTACTGCTAGGTAACAGGGGCAGCAGGGTGAAAGAAACATTTTGTCCATTTGTCTCTGCCTCCACCGGGGGATCGAACCCGGAACCTCAGGACTACGAATCCGAAACGCTGTCCACTCAGCTGTCAGGCACTAATCGGGTTCTGGGTCCCGATAGAATGGCAGGTCCAAAAAATAACATCTCTGTCTGGCAGACATAATAAATACACCTGCCACACACACACACACACACACATATATACATAAACACACACACACACACACACACACACACGCAAATGATGACAAACCAACAAGATTCTCAAAGCAAAAAACTTGGCAAACAAAGACACTATTGTACCCGGCCAGGAGGTGTCATCTTAGTACCCAGACGAGCCACAAAGATATTGAAATGAATTGACACTGACAAAAATCTTTCTAAGATTGGAAGAAAATATTCTTGCCTGATTAGGGATGGGGTGGATTATATACATAGATTATATACATTCTGCTATTTCCAAAAATTGCTTTCCAATAAGTTTGGAAATCGGTAAATAAGTCCAGTAAGTGTTGAGATGCTGGACCCATGAGATAAAGACCAAACCTTGATGGTGTAATTAGGTATTCACATAATTGTGATTCTGCAGGGTTCAGAACCACTCTCAATCACCACTCCCACACAAGCACCCTGTGACCTTTTCCACATAAGCACGCTGTGACCCCTCCCATACAAGCACCCCGTCACCCCTCCCACACAAGCATCAGACATGCCTTGTTGCCCTTACATATTTATGGCTGTTTCTGGGGTGAGAAAATTATAGGTTGAGGATGGTATTGAAAGGGAAGGCTGTGGAGGTATATGAGATGGCTTGGTGGAGTATGGGAAGGGATGAGAGAGGACATATGGAAAAGATGTGGTGGGAAAATACGAGAAGGGTGAAAGTTCGGAAGGGAAGTCAGTAGGATGGAGAGGGTTCTAACTGAGCATAGACAGCTTACACGCCACCGCAAGAACACTCAGCGGCTGCTGTACAGCGTAGCATGAAAGCCAGCCCATGACGGTCATCATGTTCTTTGGTCCATATATCAAATAACTGAAGGGTGCTACTGTACGATAGTGCGGAGGATGCCGGGGCAGTCAGCGCCTCCGCGAGGGCGCTCGGGACGTCAGGGCGCCTTCAAGAAGGCACTCG